ATTGTTTTCATCTGATTAAAAGTCATAATGTACATTATGTACATTAAGCCTAAACAGTTTTTAAGGGTCTCTTGGTATATTCTCATCCCTCTGTTTAAACCCCATACATTATTCTCCCACTTAAGTGTCATACTTTTAAAACAAGAATAAAACCCTTCAGTGTAGACCTTATTAGGCCTTGAGATGTGCTGTTATCTCTGTTGATACCCATCTGCCTCGCCCAGCTGTCCATGCTCATACCCACATTACATTCTCAAATTCCTACTACATTCAATTTTCTCTTATTTAGGTAATGCTAAAACTTGAGAAAAGTTGACACTATTACCCTGAAAAACAATTATTTCTATTGATCTTAATTCCTATAACCTGTCCTTATATATTTTTAATTTCTAAATTTCTTAGACAATCCAAAGGGAAAACAAAAGCAAACTTATATAATGAAGCATCTAATTGTCTTCTTTTCATATATAAGATTTTTAATGAGTTAAGTGTGTTTGAATATTTAAACTTGAATAACCCTTACAAATTGTTCTCTGAATTTAAAGCAATATTTCACACAGAGCCCAAAATGTTAGAAGCTTATTTTCAATGGTAGCTTCTTGCCATTAGAATTAAAAAGAAAAATGTTCTATCAAATCACTTCAAAAGCATACATAGAAGAGCTTTAATGTAGATATCAAAAGAAATATATGGAAGAATGACATTGCAATAATAAGATATAATTGGTTACAATAATTTTCCAGCAGATTATGCAGAAGCTGACAGATACCTCGTTTATATTAAAAAAATTATCCTCTAAGCAGATTTCTATTTTCATGGTAAGAAAAATGATTGAAAATGAGGAGGTCAGTAAGTCTAAACACATAATTTATAGTATACTTGACATTTTAAAGTGATTTCAGGAAAATAAAGCTCTTTATCTACTGCACTAAATTTGATGTAACTATGTAATCATAAACAGAATTATAGACCCTTTTCAATTGACTGATAAACTTTCAACCAAGCACAAATCTCCCGACAACATCAGTGAACCTAGGGTGTCCTAGCTTCTGCTATAACATTTTGTGGGACAATAAATCTGTTCCAAAAATTATACCAAAATTGTCTTTCCTTGACTGTCAACCAATGTTGTAATGAAAAATAAGAATGTACTCTCACCCTGGCTGGTGTGGCTCAGTGGATTGAGCACTGGCCTGTGAACCGAAGGGTTGCTGGTTAGATTCTGAGTCAGAGCCCATGTCTGGGTTGCAGGCCAGGTCCCCAGTAGGGGGTGTATGAGAGGCAACCACCACACATTGATGTTTCTCTCCCTCTCTTTTTTACTTCCTTTCCCTCTGTCTAAAAATAAGTAAATACAATCTTTAAAAAATGTACTTTTGCTACAGATAACTCTTTAAATGTATAAAATAACTAATATTATCAAGTACCAAGTCATTCAAGTTTTAACTATCACTCAATTCCCTTAATATGTCCTCAGATGCAAATGTCTCCAGGACCTTTTAACAACTTAACAAACAACACTTAACATCTTAAGAAGTTTCAGTTTATCACTATTCTTTAGAAGTAGACTTAGAACTAGACACAATAATCCATGTGAGGTTTGACCAGTGAAAAATTAGTTAAGAATTATTAAGTTGATCTAGAATCCTCCATCTATAAATTTAGTCTAAGACAGCATTAGTTTTGTTTTACTAGGTGTGAGATAACAGAAATTGTGTGTGTGTGTGTGTGTGTGTGTGTGTGTGTGTGTGTGTAATTGGTCTCTGCCTCCATTTCCTGAAATGCTTGTTGTAATTAATTCCCTATGTAATAAGAGTCCTAGGAGCATCTTTTGTTCTAATATTTCACCTTTGACCCTGGTTTCTGAAACAGGTCTCCTAAATCCTTTGGAATTTCCTGGGTGATAGGAGTATCTTTTGCTCTAATGAGGAGAAGCCAGGTGGGCTCCTAGGTGGCTTCTGGGTGAGAGCTGGTCATCAGAAAGATTAATCCATAAATAGAAGTTTAGAATTTTGAGCCCCAGCCCCCCCAATTATCCAGAGGAGGAAGAGGGACTGGAAATGGAGTTAATAATTGATCATTCCTATGTGAGGAAGCCTCCAAAAAACGTATGAGGTTTGGGGAGCTTCTGGATTGGTGAAAACACCCATGTACTGGGAGACTGACATGCAGTAACTTGGCTGGGAAGAGAAGCTCCAGACCTCAAGACCCTCCTAGAGCTTGCCTTCTCTAGCTCTTCATCTAACTATTATTCATCTGTATTCTTTATTATATCCTTTAACAAAATGGTAAATGAAAGTAAGTATCTCCCTGGGCTCTGTGAGCCACTCTGGCAAAGAGAGCTTGAGGAGGGGGTCATGGCAACCTCTGATTTGTAGCCAAGATAGACAGGAGATGTGGATGACCTGAGGACCTAATACTTGTAAGAGGTATCTTATGTGGGTTGGGGGCTGTCTGGTGGGACTGATCCCAAAGTAACCTGTGAAAACTGACACTGTCTGCAGGTAGAGAGTGTCAGAATTAAGTTGTAGAATAGCTAGTTGGTGCCTCAGAATTGCTTGGTATGGGAAAACCTGCACACATCTGGTGTTATAAGTGCTGTGAGTATGGTAGCGATGTGAGAGTAAGGAGAGTCATAGGAATAAGACTGGAAATTTTCCCAAAATAGTAGCCTAGACATATATTGTTGTTTTGTGGATTTCTCTGTTAATAAAATGCTTAACTCTGTCAAAGGGCATTTAAAAAATTTTAACCTATTTTTCTATAAATGCTTTCTTAGTAGGTTAGAATTTTTTTATTTCTGACTGTGATAGACATCCATCCTTTCATATCTCCAGATCATCAAATATTGTCCCAACATCTATTATTTGAGACAACCAGTCCTCATTCCCTACCCCATTAATGTTGACTGTTTTGGAGGCAACCAATGAGTTGACTGAACCAGGAGATGGACATGTGATCCAAACTCCTTCTCTTTTTAAACTGTAATCAAACAGAAAAATATTCTTCCCTAGTGATGGAATTATGAGATGCAGTAACTGTAAGCAGTAGTGTGCCTTGTGTGAATTAAACTAGTCTGTGAAAATAAACCAATCTGTGATGAAAAGAACCACTCTGGCTATGTTCGAGATCCTACTTCCAATTGGTCTTGGAGCTTTTTAATAAATTTATTAAAAAGAAAAAGCCACTTTGACAATAAAATGAGTTCTAACCTAAATATAGATTTTTCTATCAAAAGCTTTTACTTATACCTCCCTCCTAACTTCATGCCCTCTATTAACTATTTAATGCTGCTATAACATGAACTTGGTGCCTTAAATGATACAAATTTATTGTCTTAGAGTTCTGTAAGTCAGAAATCTGACATGACTCTCACTGGCCAAAATCAAGGTGTAGGCACAGCTGAATTATACCTTCAGCTGAATTCCACTCTGAAGGCTCTGGGGAAGAAGGTTTCTTTGTCTTTTCTAACTTCTAGGTACCGTCTGCTTTCCTTGGCTCAAGGCTCCTTTCCTCCATCTTCAAAGTCAACAAGGATGCATTTCTCTGACAATTCTGTCATCTCATCTCTCTGATCCTGACCTCAACTGGGAAAAGTCTTTAAAGGACTCGTAATTAAATTGGATTTACCTGGATAATCTTATTTTAAAATCCTTAATTTTAAGCACCTGTGCAAAGACTCTTTTGCTACCCAATGCAACACAGTCACAGGTTCTTAAGCCTTAGGGATGGAAACCTTGGGTTTGGGGGCATTCTACTGCTTACCAGTAAAACAGGAACCAGCATTCCATGTCTCACATCACTCAATTCAGCAACAAAAATACACTTAACAGGAGAAGCCAGATACCCTCCGCATGAACAGAAGCATGTTAATCAACATTATTTGGGAACAGTTGTTTAATTCACAATGACTCCTTCAAAATTGTTTTTCTGAAAAAAAAATTTGGCTGGCTTTATCTTCCTTCTTCTGAAGATGAGTTTGAAGATCCTTACTGGATTTCTCTAGCATACAATCAGGATGCAATATTTGACATGTAGAATTATAAGTAGTTCCATACCCACATACTTGAAGCCTGAGGCAGCTATTATTCCCACGTATAGAGAGTAAACACAGCATCTCTCTTTGTATTACTAATGGCTTTGTTTCCCCAAGCTGCTAGCATAACATCTGCCAGGCCAGAATGCACTCTTTCCACACGCTGCCGTGGAAGCACTGCCGGCCAGATAAACAACCCACGCTTCATGTTGAAAGGGCAAATGCTTTCCAGACCCTCAGCAGGCACTATTCAAAAGGCAAAAACTTTGAGTAGTAATGAAGCTGCAACCCCTCCCCTCCCAAAACCTTTAGAGTGGTTATGGAGTTGTTGATTCTGTAATGATCTCATACTGTCTGCGATTTTATTGATTTTGTTTTTCAATAGAACTGTTAAAGACTCCAATTCTCAGATAGGCAGAATGTGGGCAGATGCTCATATGCTCACACATAGTTCTGCCAAGATATTTTTACATCTTTCTGCACTTAAAACAAAATGAAGACGTGTGTTATAGATGCGTGCTACTGGTAACCCACCAGAAGAAGAAAGGTTTTTGTACACTCATTTCCTGGATGAAGTATTGTATTAAAACAACTCTATCAAGAAAAAGTGAACAGCTCTTTCAAAATAAAAGAGATTTTCTTCCGAGTAACCTTACCAAACACGCCTAATTAGTAAAACCCATTTAAACAGCAATTTGGGTCAGCATATTCAAATGTTATCCCTGCTATTTCTAATGCAACATAAACTTCTTGTCACATTTACTGGGTAAGCATCAAAACACAAAATGCTGCAACAGCTTATGCTCTGTTGATGTTCATTCATCCACTGTGCGTCGGAAAAAGCTCATTTCAAATACGGCATGAAAGAAAGAAAAGTAAGCAAAAAACAAACTCAGAAGAGACTTGAAATAAATTGCCTCAAGAAAAACACTCAAGAAGAAAAACTGCAAAATCACAGCCTTACCTTGGGGGACTTAGGCAGACCCACAGTCTTTTCTTCTGCCACATTTAGCAGAGTTAGCTTTGCTTCTCCCACTGAGGGGTGCTTGGGGGGGCGAGGTGGGGGGTGCGAGAAAGAGCTTTCATATCTTCGCATCATGTAATATTGTTCTTCCGTGATCTCTTCAGTCAGAGCCTTGACTACAATTGACCCTGTATCCTGAGACAAATTATTATTAACTAACTGAACGGTCATATTCAAGCGGCTGACTGGAATTTCCCAGCATTCAGTGGGGTTGGCAAAGTCACTTATGAGTAGGTAAGTGTCTGTGATGGTTTCCTCCAACTGCAGTCCTGGAGTAGCAGCCAGAATGTCTTCTTCGATGAAAAGATCTCTCACAGAGACCTTCACATTGAAGGGCCAGTGGAACTGTGCACAGAGCTCAGAAATCTGGTACTGTTTCTTGTCATGGATCACCTCCACAAAGCCTCCTTCCATGTACAAAGGGAGCAGTGCTGCCTCATATGAATTTTTGAGGATTTTTTCACAGGCCAGAACGTTCACCACTTTTTTGATTCCCTCACAGAGGACTTCAGTCGTCTGTGAGTGATGCACTAGAAACTGGTCCCCAACAGACACGGATGACAACTCATCATGAAGGGGGTGGAAGGCTTTGGTGGCCACCACGTGGAGAGCTTCCTTCTCACTCTTCGCTATCTCCAGGTCATAAGCTGTTGGCAACTCCCGAGGTCGTCGCTTGAACTTGCCTTTATAGCTAGTGGGGATTAAAAAGTGTCTTTTAGGAAAATTGCTTCTAATTTCTGAAGCTAAGATCCTAGATGCCTGATACTTTTTGTGAATCACAATGGTTTTTCCAGGCTGTAAAATGCTTCTGGGGAGATGGTTTCCTTGAGGTGGTTCTATGACTTCAGCCACTATGGGGAACTCTTTACTGGTCCTTTCAGAAAGATCTTGTGTAGATAACAGCTGAAGAAACCAGTTGGCATCATAACTGTCAGTAATGTCTTTGACTTCAACATCTAAACTGGGGAGGATGCGGATTATATCCTTTTGAACTGAAAAAAAGAAAAAGAGTATGACATTTTGTGCATCCAAGTGTTGCTGTGAGGTAGAATTACACAATCTCTTGAGATGTCATACATAAACTTAATTTTAAAAACTCATATTCACGATATAACATTTCTTATATGTGACTCTCCTTTTTTCAAATTTTAAAATGATATAGATCATATATACAACCAACACCCATAAAACTGTTGCTCGGCTTAGAAAACAGACAGCAGCCAGTACCATGAAGTCCAGTGAACCTCACCAAAATGCCAGGTGTAATAGTTCTCATGATTCTAATGTTAATCATGCCCTCATTTTTCTTTATAATTTTTTCACATGTAACATACATGAATTTATGTGCTTGAGTTAATGTATACATGTGCATTTTTTCCATAAAAGGTTTATTATATTGTTTTGTTATGTTCTTACAGTCCAGGCAATATATGTAAACTTATCTTAGAAGACAGTTTTGGTTCATGTAAGACTTTCCCTGCACAAGGCCCAAGACAACAGTTTATCATGGGCCATATAGTCACTTGCAAAATCATGGGATATAAGTACTAGTGTTAATCAGGCCCTCATTTTTCTTTCAGTTATTTTCTTTCTATAGTTATTTTTTCCTGCTGATGCTACATTAACATCTGGATATAAAACAGTGGCAAAGGGTGGGCCACAGTCAGAGGAGCCCTAGGTATGCTGGGGGTGGGTGCTCACCAGTGTGCTCTTTGCCTGATGTGTCACTGGGGACAGTGAATCTCTATATTTTTTTCAAGAGCCCACTGTCCCAGAACTTTTTATGTGGGACTATGGAGACATTTAAAAACATTCTTGCATTGATATAACAAGAAACATTGAAATTAAGAACAAACTGACAACAACCAGAGGAGAGGTGGGAGGGGATAATGGGGAAGAAAGGGGGCAGGGGTTCCAGTAACAACTATAAAGGACCCATGAACAAAACCAAGGGGTGGGTGGGATCAGGTGAGTGAGGTAGGGATGGCTGGGGTGGGGGGGGGTGCAGACAACTGTACTTGAACAGCATTTAAAGAAACAGTTTAAAGGGGATATTGGGGACAACTGGGGAAACTTGAATTATGGACCATATGTCAGTAATGTTACTAAATTAATGTCGATGCTTTTAGGAAATATAATGGAGATGTGAGTATGTAGAAGGCTGTCCTTATTCTTGAGAGATGCGTGCTGAAACATTAAAGGATGAAGTGTTATGAAAAAAATAAAAAAGAAAATTCCTGCATTAAAAATAGTTATCTGTTGTCATTAACAGGATATTACAATGATTTATTTTTTGACATCTTCCTACCACAATGTTTTATAGTATTTTCATGACCCACCATTGTGTCCCAACATCTCCAGGCACCCTCTGTCAGTATCTTTTTTCCCTTGTATGCTTTTGAAAATGAGTAACACAGAAGATAGGACTTCTTTTTATAAAGTGTTACTTATATGATTATATCTTATATTATTAACCATTCATGTAGCATCTGAAAACCATAACTCTATATACCTTGTGTCACATTACCTGCACATTTTGTGTACAAAGTTCTTGAAGACATGAAATGAAAAAACTATTATTTCCTTGAATATAAAAAAGAAAAAAATCATGCCCTGGCTGGCGTAGCTCAGTGGATTGAGCGCGGGCTGGGAACCAAAGTGTCCCAGGTTCGACTCCCAGCCAGGGTACATGCCTGGGTTGCAGGCCATGACCCCCAGCAACCGCACATTGATGTTTCTCTCTCTCTCTCTCTCTCTCTCTCTCTCTCTCTATCTCTATCTCTATCTCTATCTCTTTCCCTTCCCTCTCTAAAAATAAATAAATAAAATCTTTAAAAAAAAAAAAGAAAAAAATCAAAGCTTGTCTGTAGGCTGAAGGTTGGTAAAAAATGTAAAAATTCTTCATTAATGAAAGAGAGAGGGGCTAAAAGGATATTTCTTATCTTTATCAATTCATTTTACAGGATTTAGCATATGCACACTTTTGAGACTGGTGTCACACGCTTCTCAGAAGCCCAGGGTAATTCTAGTAACTTTAAAATTTCAGTTATTTAGATCCAAATGAATTAGGTTTAAGAATTGGAGAGCTAGCAACAGACAAGCTCATGACATTTGTCAGTTGAGGGAGCAGCTAGACATTGGTGGAACAGATGTTGTGAGGAATGTGTGGGACTCCCAGGCTGATCCATCAGAACACAGACACCCTAATGTGAACTGGATCTCAATCTGTATCTGGGCACATGGTGTGTGTTGAGGGCAAGAAACTGTCTTAATAACGTAGGAGGACTTTCCTGATGCCAGAGAAAGCTTCCAGACCAAGCTATCTGACCTCTGTTAAGTTTTTGCTGTTATGGTTTCCAATTCCTGCCCTGTTTTCAGTATTTCCAAATACACTAACAGTTTGCTAGCCTATCTCATCCTGCTAGATTTATCAGCAGCATTTCACAGAGTAGATTTCACTTTCTCCTTTTTGCATATTTGCCTCATTTACTTCTTTATCTTACTTATGATTCTTCTCAATTTCTTTTATGGTTTCTTCTGTCTATATGCCACCCATTTCTTCCCCACCCCTTCACACCTTTTCATGTGTCTTGGTTCTCTTCCTTTCTCTATCCACACTCACGCCTACTGTAATTTTACAGTCTCAAGTCTTTAAGTACCATCTGCATGCAGATGACTCCCCAGAGTATATCTCTAGCCAAATATTTCTCCTGCACTCCAGATATCTACTTAGGATCTCTACTTGGATATCTAATAGATGTCTCAAGATTAATGTGCCCAAATGAAAATTCTCATCTTCCCAATCAAAACCTAGTCTATTATATGTTGCTTTTTTTCTATCTCAGTTATTGAAGACTTCTTTCTCCTTGTTCAGCCCAGAGATCTCAGAAATATTATTGCCTTTTCTCTTTTTCTAACACCTAACATCCATTATATAGGACTACCCTGACCTATGTAATGGATGTTAGGTGTTAGAAAAAGAAAAAAAGCAATAATATTTCTGAGATCTCTGGGCTGAACAAGGAGAAATGTATTGTATTGCAATGGCTTCTGAACCAGTTTTCTTACAGTCAAATCTGAATAGGCCAGCCAAAATTTGTTCAATGTTAAATTGATCATGTCTGTCTTCTGCTTATAGACCCACAAGGGTAGGCCCTTTCATCCAGAATAAAAGTCGATACCCTTTCCATAGTCCGAGGTACCTCTTGGATCTCAGCTCAGTGCTGCCTCCCTGACCTTGTTTTTAATCAGGCCCTTTCTTTGCATGGCATGTTTCATTGCTAAAAGATAAATCTTTTGGCCAGCTATATTTATGGCACTTCCTCTTGTTCTGCTTCAAGTCTACTTAACTTCATCTTAAATGAGATTTGCTCAATAAATACTTGCCATAGACTGAACACTTTTGTTCCCTTAAAATTCATATGTTGAAACCTAATCTCTAAAGTGCTTGCATTAGGAGGTGCTACCTTTGGGAGATGGGTAGGTCATGAGATTAGTAGCCTGATGAAAGAGAGCCCAGAGACCCTCTTAACCTGATCCCGTGTGAGGACACAACGGGAAGATGGCTGTCTATGAAACAGGAAGCAGACCTTCACCAGACACCAGATCTCCCAGCATCTTGATCTTGAATGTCCCAGTGTCCAGAATGATCAGAAATAAAGTTCTGTTGTTTATAGGCCACCCAGTCTATGGTATTTAGTTCTAGCCAATTAATGGATTAAGAAAGTGTTTTAATTAAAACTGTAACTGTATCTGTCCCTTGCCTGCTCTGTTTCTTTATTTTCCATGTTACCCTTCACCTTCAATCCTTGCATATAATTTGCTTATTAATTATTACCATTGATTATTGTTTGTTTCCCTTGATTGGAACATATGATTCACAGGGACAGGAGTCCTTGATTGTTTTGTCAAACCATCTATCCTCATGTTCAGAATGGTGCCTGGAACATTGTAGGCACTAAATAAATTGAATGAATAAAAAATAATTGCAAAACAATGTCCGTGATTGAGCATTAAAGGATGTGATCCAGTTAACATGTGAAATTTCATTGGAAAGAATTAGTTTCTGTTACTAAAACTCCTGCTATACATTACCTAATATATTCTATATTTTATATAAAACATGGCCCTTTAGGTTGTAATTTATCTTGATGGCTTATTAACTGCAATAAATAATTTATCATTTGGTTTCTACAAGAGAATAATCTGGACATTTTAGAGTGTAACAATAATCATGATGCATATGCTTTGAGAGAAGATTCAACACAGGGAAATAGCACATACGATGAAAATCAAGAGCTCATCTTAGATCCACCAGAGAACTGAGGTCCAAAGGCAAACCATCACCTCTGAAACTAGAGATAGGTGAACACAGAGAGTTACGGTTTTTTGGAAACAGAAACCTCTGCTGGAGCCATCAACTGATGAAGAACGCTTTAAGAGTAATTAACTAATTGTTGGAGACTGAGCATGGACAAGTAGGAGAGAGAAAATTTCTGGATGGCCACGCTTAGGGGGATTTCCCCACACTTTGCTGAGTTTACTTCAAAGAACTGCACCAGTTTCTCAGGATAAAGTTCAAAGAAAAATCCCCTCATGCTTCAGGCAGCATGAGGGGAAAAGTAAACAATTTGAAATATACCCAGAGCATTTAGTTCTTCTTAAAAAAAAGAAAACTAACTACCTTGGGTTTTTTTTTCCGGAGTCTAACTCACAAAGGGCTAAGAATTGCCCAACTCCAGGCACCTCTCCTTTCTCATGCAGGGAGGGAAACACCCAGCTCCAACCTGAATCCACAGGATCCATTCGATCTCACTAAGGGGGCAAGAGAGTGATAACTGAGAAGCACTTGTAAAGGTCATAACCGAGAGGCACAGAACCACTAAAAGACTGAGACCTAGTTATAAGACTATAGGATGCTCCTCCTCCCCCACACCTTACTGAACACATCAACAGGGCTCCTATGTAATAATAGGGATTACAATATTTTAAA